TACATAGCTCATGCACATGGAAAATGAAATGCATCTCCTTAGATCTGTCTTATGTCTGCTGAGTTATTAGATGTGACAAAGAAGCCAGAAGAATAGAAGAGAAATAGTTCGGCTACAACAGGTTGAAGACCTACAAAGGGAAATCAGGTAATGAAAATTAATTATTAGAGGGAAGAAAAGTTATTTGTTTCCATATGGCATGATCTGCTACAGCCACAATGTCTACCAACTCCACAATCTCTAGGGATTAATTATCGATTTCTGGGAATACTCAGAATATAAAATCAAAAAAAGGAAAAAGGATATAAAATAAATATAGCTATGAGGGATCCCTGGGTGGCGCAGTGGTTTGGCGCCTGCCTTTGGCTCAGGGCGCGATCCTGGAGACCCGGGATTGAATCCCAAATCAGGCTCCCGGTGCATGGAGCCTGCTTCTCCCTCTGCCTGTGTCTCTGCCTCTCTCGCTCTCTCTCTGTGACTATCATAAATAAATAATAAAAAAATAAAATAAATACAGCTATGATTCCACACACTAACAATAAAAATCCATATGAAATTAATAAAAATATCACATTAACTAGCATGAAAAATAAATATTTAGGATTAAATTTCAATAGGAGATGAAATACCACACTAAAAATTACCTATTTTGATAAAAAGATTTTAAAAATTCAGTCAGAAATGAAAAGACAACAATGCTCACAGATGACGGCTTCATGTTTCCGCAGTGACATCTGCACAAAATGATCTGCAAATGTAATGCAGTCCTTGCTCTTAACCTGTTAAAATCGAAATGTAGACATGGGCTGAAGATAAAGTCAGAGGATATGCAAATAAGCCCCTCCCTCTTCTGATTAAACCAGCCCAGCCCAGACCCTGCAGCTGGGAGAGGAGCCTCAGCCCTAGATCCCCAGGTGAACCCATTGAGTGATCAGGCCAGAACACAGACAAACCACCATGGAGTCTGTGCTCAGCTGCGTTTTCCTTGTTGCTATTTTAAAAGGTAATTCGTGGAGAACAGAGACCTTGAGTATGTGAGTGGACGTGAGTGCGAGAAGGGATGGGGGGCACTTTCCTAACCAGGATGTCTGTGTCTGCAGGTGTCCAGGGTGAGGTGCAGCTGGTGGAGTCTGGGGGAGACCTGGTGAAGCCTGGGGGGTCCCTGAGACTGTCCTGTGTGGCCTCTGGATTCACCTTCAGTAGCAACGACATGCACTGGGTCCGCCAGGCTCCAGGGAAGGGGCTGCAGTGGGTTGCAATCATTTATACTAGTGGAAGTACCACATACTACGCAGACGCTGTGAAGGGCCGATTCACCATCTCCAGAGACAACGCCAAGAACACGATGTATCTGCAGATGAACAGCCTGAGAGCCGAGGACACGGCCGTGTATTACTGTGCGAGGGACACAGTGAGGGGACCTCAGTGTGAGCCCAGACACAAACCTCCCTGTAGAAGGGGATCAGGACCACCAGGGGGTGCACACTCCTCACCACTTCTGTCTTGAAGGCCCAGGAGCAGGTGCAGATGGAGGTTCTGGGCCGGTTTCCTGTCAGGGTCTGGGCTTCCTCTCCAAGGAGCAGTTTCCCCCAGGGAGCCCCTCTGGACATAGGATTTTGTGTTAACATATTCAGCCCCTGACTTAGAAACTTAGGAAATCAACTCTAGCACCTGCCCTGACTTTTGAAAACAACTGTACTACTTGTTCTTATTTGAACTTAAATTTTCCTGACCCAGAATATAAATCAGTTACAAATACTTCCATACACATCATCTGAACATCTTCCTGAATCACAGCAGCACACACTGTACACCAAGGACCCCATGCTAACATGAGGACTTGGTAGAAGCACCATAAAGTGAATGCTACACATGACGGTACAGAGGAATCTACAATCCATTCAAGAGAAAAAAGACACGTAGTTGGGATCAGTATCTGAGAAAATGTTCAAAAATATTGTAGCAAATGTGTAGTGTCAGAGAGATTCCCGGCATGACTGGTAAGTATGTGCATTTAAAGGTCACACACACACACACACACACACACACACACACACACACACGGGAGTACAAAGGTTTATCACCTTCACCATCCTGTCTGTTGAGAGCAGGGCCGGCCTCTCAGCAAGTCACAAGGCTTATATAGAGCCAGGGAAGGACACTGGCTCAGAGTCTGTGTTGAGAGTCAGTGGTTGGGATAGGGTCTGCTCCGGGTTGGGGTGGTGTGGAGTCAGTCTCCCACTTTCGTCAAATGAGGGTGAACCTGTGGGTTCTTGTTTGAATCCCCACGTTGGGCGAGGAGGAGAAGAAGGAGGTTTGGAGATCAAGGATCTAGCAAATAAATTCAAAGGTATGCTTTAAGGAATAAGTCCACTAAAGAAGTATGAAAAGTTGGAGAACAAACAGAGAAAATGTCATTCTACATAGAAAAAGTCCAAATCCTTAGAAAATGAGATGAATGATGCGTGGAAGAATCCAAAAGTATAAAATGATGCTTTGGGGACTAAAATACATTTCTGGGGCAGCCTGGGTGGCTCAGTGGTTTAGCACCACCTTCGGCCCAGAGCCTGATCCTGGGGTCCCGGGATCGAGTCCCACATTGGGCTCGCTGCGTGGAGACTGCTTCTCCCTCTATCTGTGTCTCAGCCTCTCAGCGTGTCTCTCATTAATAAAAAAAATGAATAAAATATTTTCTAAAAATAAAAATAATAAAACAAAATACATTTCTGTAGAGGGATGTGTAATGTCTGACTACTCTTATTTTTTATAATTGTATGGTCAGTATCATGAGTTTTTTCTAAATGAATATGGAGTTTTTCTATTATGTAAGAAAATGATTGGTATTTTGAATAACTTAATCAACTAAAAATCATTAGAACAGACGACATTGGGCGCGTTCAGGGTGGTATGGCCATAGACCCGAATAGCCAGGGGAATTTTAAAAAAGAACCATAGCTGGCAGCATCACAATGCCAGATTTCAGGTTGTACTACAAAGCTGTGGTCTTCAAGACAGTGTGGTCTTGGCACAAAAACAGACACATAGATCAATGGAACAGATTAGAGAACCCAGAAGTGGACCCTGAACTTTATGGTCAACTAATATTCGACAAAGGAGGAAAAATATCCACTGGAAAAAAAACAGTCTCTTCAATAAATGGTGCTGGGAAAATTGGACATCCACATGCAGAAGAATGAAATTAGACCACTTCATGCACCAGACAGAAAGATAAACTCAAAATGGATGAAAGATCTAAATGTGAGACAAAATTCCAACAGAATCCTAGAGGAGAACACAGGCAACACCCTTTTTGAACTTGGCCACAGCAACTTCTTGTAAGATACATCCACGAAGGCAAAAGAAACAAAAGCAAAAATGAACTATTGGGACTTCATCAAGATAAGAAACTTTTGCACAGCAAAGGATACAGTCAACAAAACTCAAAGACAACCTACAGAATGGGAGAAGATATTTGCAAATAACATATCAGATAAAGGGCTAGTTTCCAAGATCTATAAAGAACTTATTAAACTCAACAGCAAAGAAACAAACAATCCAATCATGAAATGGGCAAAAGACATGAAGAGAAATCTCACAGAGGAAGACACAGACATGGCCAACATGCACATGAGAAAATGCTCTGCATCACTTGCCATCAGGGAAATACAAATCAAAACCACAATGAGATCCCACCTCACACCAGTGAGAATGGGGAAAATTAACAAGGCAGGAAACAACAAATGTTGGAGAGGATGCGGAGAAAAGGGAACCCTCTTACACTGTTGGTGGGAATGTGAACTGGTGCAGCCACTCTGGAAAACTGTGTGGAGGTTCCTCAAAGAGCTAAAAATAGACCTGCCCTACGACCCAGCAATTGCACTGCTGGGGATTTACCCCAAAGATACAGATGCAGTGAAACGCCGGGACACCTGCACCCCGATGTTTCTAGCAGCAATGTCCACAATAGCCAAACTGTGGAAGGAGCCTCGGTGTCCATCGAAAGATGAATGGATAAAGAAGATGTGGTCTATGTATACAATGGAATATTCCTTAGCCATTAGAAATGACAAATACCCGCCATTTGCTTTGACGTGGATGGAACTGGAGGGTATTATGCTGAGTGAAATAAGTCAACTGGAGAAGGACAAACATTATATGGTCTCATTCATTTGGGGAATATAAAAATATTGAAAGGGAATAAAGGGGAAAGGAGAAAAAAATAGTGGGAAATATCAGAAAGGGAGCCAGAACATGAAATACTCCTAAGTCTGGGAAATGAACTGGAGGTGGTGGAAGGGGAGTTGGGCAGGGGGGTGGGGGTGACTGGGTGATGGGCACTGAGGGGGACACTTGACGGGATGAGCACTGGGTGTTATTCTGTATGTTGGTAAATTGAACACCAAAAAAATTAATTTATTAAAAAAATTCTTGACAAAGGTAAAAAGAAAAAGTATCAGCTTGGAGCTAGAAAGGCATCAGACTAGAGGGGATAGGCTTCCCTGACGTCTCTGACCTGTATTATATATTTCTGCCTCTAGGTCAGAGAATGTCCAATAAAATTCTTTCTCTAAAAAAAATGAAATGAAAAGAAAATTAACAAAATATTCCTTTCACACTGGCAAAAAAAATAAAATAATTATTATTAAATATTCATAGGCAGTAACATGCTATATACTAAAAATTACCTAAATTGGCGATTGGGTTTTAATAAGACATTGAGAGATGCAAAGCTAATTCTGTTCACATGTTAAAACACTTCATATCGTTACATGACATTACAGAAATTTGACCTCAAATGTAATGCAATCATGTTTATGAAACTTGTAAAGAATCTAATCTAAGTCTGGAGCTGACTATATAGTCAGAGGACATGCAAATAGGGCCCTCCCTCCACTGATTAAACCAGCCTATCCCTGAACCTGCAGCTGGGAGAGGAGCCCAGACCCCAGCAACCCAGGGGACCCCATTCAGGGATCAGGACAGAACACACACAACTCACCATGGAGTCTGTGCTCCACTGGGTTTTCCTTGTTGCTATTTTAAAAGGTAATTCATGGGGAACACGGGACCTTGAGTCTGTGAGTGGAGGTGAGTGAGAGAAACAGGGGATGTGGGACCGTTTCCTGACCAGGATGTCTTGTGTCTGCAGGTGTCCAGGGTGAGGTGCAGCTGGTGGAGTCTGGGGGAGACCTGGTGAAGCCTGGGGGGTCCCTGAGACTCTCCTGTGTGGCTTCTGGATTCACCTTCAGTAGTTACTGGATAAGCTGGGTCCGCCAGGCTCCAGGGAAGGGGCTGCAGTGGGTCTCAGTAATTAACAAGGATGGAAGCAGCACATACCACGCAGACGCTGTGAAGGGCCGATTCACCATCTCCAGAGACAACGCCAAGAACACGCTGTATCTGCAGATGAACAGCCTGAGAGCCGAGGACACGGCCGTGTATTACTGTGCACACACCGTGAGGGGACCTCAGTGTGAGCCCAGACACAAACCTCCCTGTAGAAGGGGATGGGGACCGCTAGGAGGTGCACACTCCTGACTAGTTGTCACTTGAAGGCCCAGGAGCAGGTGCAGATGAGGGTTACGGGCTGGTTTCCCTGTCAGGGTCTGGGCTTCCTCTCCTTGGAGCAGTATTCCCCAAGGAGTCATATGGACACATTATCCTGGTCTTATCTATTGAGTCTCTGAATTAGAAATATTATTTTTATATGAAAAACACTTATAACATGTACAAAGGACAAAGTTGCTGGCACTTGTTTATTACTATCCCTACATGCAAAAAAAAAAATGACAATCTCTGCAGTTACATCAGCTAAGCATTTACTGGAGCCACACCTGCATTTGTGCATCGCGGGTCCACTCACCTCAAGGAGCAAGCTTGGTGGAAGCAGCATAAAGTGCATGCAGGATAAGAGGCCACAGAAGCATCAACCATCTAAAGCAAGAGAAGACAGATCCCTGTTGCGGTAACTGTCTTGAACAAGCCTCCCTGCAGCGACGTTAGTAACAACCTGAGAAGGAACGGGGGTGCCCAGCAGGATGTTGTGTATTTGTGCTGTCTCAGGATCATAAACACACACACACACATACACAGACAAGAGTATTAAACTTCATCACCTTCACAATCGTGTCTGTTGAGAGCAGCACAGCCTCCTGGCAAGTCACAAATGCTTGGATGGAACCAGGGAAGGACACGGGCTCAGGGTTTGTGTTGTGGGTCTGTGGTGAAGATGGGATACTGCTTGAGGAGGGGCTTGTGTGGAGTCAGTGTCCCCCCTGCATCAATGCTGATATCAGCTCACTGTGTGTGACCTCTACCATCCCCATGTTGAAAAACAACATCCGTGTGATGGGGGGGGGGAGTGGGGCCTGAGGGCAGCACTTAGGTCAGGAGATCCATCCTCATGATGGGATCACGAAACTTAAACGCCAGGTCTTGGGAAGCTCTTTGCCTCCAGGCCCCATGTGAGGTGAAAGGGAAAGTACCGGCTAGGACGGGGGCGCTCTCCAGACACCACATCTGCCTGCACCTGGACCTCAGACGTCCCAGACTCCAGAGCAGGGATAATGAGTGTCGCCTTTTTAATCCACCCAGCCTGGGATTGCGGTGACATCACCCAGACACACGAAAACAGGGTCTCTCCTCTGATTCGTCCTTTACAGCCTGGTACCACGAAAAGACTCCGGTTATGACAAAACAGAGTAGGAAACCCACACCTGGACTCACTGTCCTCAGCCACCTTCCACGCTCCTGTGCTTAGTAGCTGTGCATCGTGTTGGTGCCACACATTCTTCCTACAACGCTGGGGTTTTGAGAACCGTTAGTATCCTGGGATTCCTCCCTCTTTACCACCTGAGGAGCTTTAAGCCAGCACATGCCCCATGGAAGCAGACATCTAAATTTCAGATTTTCCTGTCTGCTGCTCATCATACTTTACAGAATATTCTGGATCAGCCTCCTTCTTGTCCTCATCGCCACAGCTATATCTCCCCATGACAACATCCACACCTCCTACATTCAAAAGGAGGTTGATTTTCCACCTGTGGACTTGCAGTTTTTGTTCTCTCAGACCTCTGAGTGATTTCATGGGTGATCACAATGAGTCACTAACTATCTCTCATGTTCCAGGAACGAGACAAGCTCAGAGACTCCTGATCCAGGAGTTAAGATCTCCTCCCTCCCAGTGCTGTTATAGCAAAGACCGTGTGTGGAATTCCCTCTGCTTTATATGCTGAAGATCAAGAGGGGACTCTGGAATTTTATGTCAAAATCACCTAAATTTATTTCCCTCCCATCTCTTACCTCAGTCCTGTGGATTCATTTTGTGTTTGAATGTATGTTGTACAATTTTTATTTTATTTTGCAGTAAATAATGGTGACATATGTGGTCCATGCACATATTCTCCCTAATGAGTGACGTAGAGAGGAAAGCACCTCTCAACATGTGACATGGGCTTCGGGCAGGAGGTTGGGCATCCTCCACAAGGACAAGGATTGCGGGAATATTATTATCACAACTCTGTGTCTTCATGCCATTGCTGTAGTTGCACGTTGGATGGTGTGGGCAGCTGGAAGTCCCCCTGATGCATGTGATCCCCTCAGGGATGGAAGCTGCTGGATCTGGAGGCAGAAGAGAAGTCCTGTCTCATTCGGCAGGGTCAAAGGGACTGACACGAGAAACCAAATTTGAGGTGGATCGGAGCAGAAAAGTGGAATTGAATTCCTTAACCTTGACATTTTCTCTAGGTCTGTATCTTCCTCTGTGTGTACAAATGCCCGTTCTAGCTTCTGCTCCAGAATAACAGCTTTATGACGAAGACGTCACATAGGATGCTGGTTCTGGGTCTTCAGAGTGTCTGTGGTGTGGGCTGCGGCCACTGTGCTGTCCTGTTTTGGCTGCTATTTCCTTCAGGCCAGGCGTCCACACAGGCACTCCTTGCCTTCAGGGGGCTGTATGTGATCCGTGGCCAGAATGTGAGTTTTAACTGGGTGTGCTTTGCTCTGCTTGTTAAATGAGCCCTGATACCACCTCCACTAGAACTGAAGCCCTGCAGAATTCTCTGGTCAGGAGATGTGGGTGGGCAAGGGTGCAGCTGCTCTGGGAAAACATATGGTGTGACATCAGATATGTAACAGTAAACCTACTCTGTGATCCAGCAACTGCACTACTGGGCATTGACTCTAAGAATACAAAAGTACTGGGATGCCTGGGTGGCTCAGCAGTTGAGCGCGTGCCTTCAACTCGGGTCCTGTTCCCAATCTGGTGATCGTGTCTCATATCAGACTCCTGGAAGGAGTCTGCTTCTCGCTCTTTGTCGCAGCATCTTTGCATCTCCCATGAATAAATAAATAAAATCAGTAAAAGGAAAAGAATCCTGAGATACTTGGGTGGCTTAGTAGTTGTGTGCCTGCCTTTGGCTCAGGGCATAATCCCAGACTATAGGGGTCAAGTCCTAATTCGGGTTTCCTGCATTTAGCCTGCTTCTCCCTCTGCCAATGTCTCTGCCTCTCTCTGTGTGTATGTCTCTCATGAGAAAAATAAAACAAATGAAAATTTAAAAAAATAAAAGAATATTCAATGGAAAACAGGACCATTGAAATAAAGACTCACTATTAGTATATATAAAACCAAATATAAAAGCACTGCGGGAGGCACCTGACAGGATAAGCCAACATTCATCTATAAAGCAGGCAGAGCCTTGTGTGGACATGTTACGCAGGAGGGTACAGACACATGAAGTAAGCACAGGGGAGAGCACCTCCCACCAGGGTCTGTCAGGGAAATTCACATCCACCACAAGGAGATGCCCTATACACTCATCACAAGGGCTCAGGTATGAAAGGAGCACTGACCAGAACACCCTGTGGAGCATATAGGACACCTGGAGCCTCAACCCTGCAGGTAGGAATGAAAAATGAAACAGAAGCCTTGGAAAATCATTGTTCTGTTCCTCCTGAAATTAAAGATGGATGACCTACCACGTGACCAGGGGTCACCTGTGGATCCTGGGGCTGGGGCTCCTCTCCCAGCTGCAGGGTCGTGTTCCGCTGGTTTAGTCAGTGAAGGGACGGTCCTATTTGCACGTCCTTTGGATATATAACCAGCACCAGACCTAGGTTTGACTCTTCACATCTATTAACAAGGATTGCTTTCCATCTCTAGACCACTGTGTGTAATGACTTCTGACATTATGAAGTGTTCAAATCTATGAAAAAATAACCTTTGCATTTCTTTTTGAGTTTTTAAAAATCTCTCATCAATGTAGGTTATTTTAGTGTACAGTATTTTACCTTTTTCAGAATACTTAATCCTACATATATTCTTAACAGTGGTGTCAATGTAATAAGGTTTATTAATTACCTTGTTCCTCCTGGGGCCTCACGGGGTAAACAACCCCCACTGAGCCCTGCACCAGGCAGGGGCAGAGCAGCTCCCCCAAGTGCTAACACCTGAAAATCAGCACAGCAGGCCCCTCCCCCAGAAGACCAGTTAGAGGGACCAGTTCCAGGGGAAGTCAAGGGACTTAAAGTATACAGAGTCAGAAGATACTCCCTCATGGTTTTTTTTTTCTTTTTGATTTCTGTTTGCTTCCCCCACCCTTTTTTCCCCTGACTTTCTTTTTCTTTCTCTTTTTCTTCTTTTTTCTCCTTTTTTTCTTTTTTCTATTTCTCTTTCCTTTCCTTCTCTCTCTCTCTCTTTTTCTCCTTTGCCCAATATAACTTTTTTTTGGCCACTCTGCACTGAGCAAAAGGACTAGAAGGAAAACCTCACCTCAAAAGAAAGAATCAGAAACATTCCTCTCTCCCACAGAGTTACAAAATCTGGATTACAATTCAATGTCAGAAAGACAATTCAGAAGCACTATTATAAAGCTACTTGTCACTCTAGAAAAAAGCATAAAGGACTCAAGAGACTTCATGGCTGCAGAATTTAGATCTAATAAGGCAGAAATTAAGAATCAATTGAATGAGATGCAATCCAAACTAGATGTCCTAATGACGAGGGTTAACGAGGTAGAAGAATGAGTGAGTGACATAGAAGACAAGTTGATGGCAAATAGGGAAACTGAGGAAAAAAGAGACAAACAATTAAAATACCATGAGGATAGGGGATCCCTGGGTGGCACAGCTTTGCCGCCTGCCTTTGGCCCAGGGCACAATCCTGGAGACCCGGGATTGAATCCCACATCGGGCTCCCAGTGCATGGAGCCTGCTTCTCCCTCTGCCTATGTTTCTGCCTCTCTCTCTCTCTCTCTCTCTCTCTCTCTGTGACTATCATAAATAAATAAATTTTTTTTAAAAAGACCATAAGGATAGATTAAGGGAAATAAGTGACAGCCTGATGAAGAAAAACTTACATTCAATTTGGGTTCCTGAGGGCGCCGAAAGGGACAGAGGTCCAGAATATGTATTTCAACAAATCCTAGCTGAAACCTTTCCTAATCTGGGAAGGGAAACAGGCATTCAGATCCAGGAAATAGAGAGGTCCCCACCTAAAATGAATAAAAACCATTCACTACTGAAAGAAATTGAGGAAGACACAAAAAAATGGAAAAATATTCCATGCTCATGGATTGGCAGAATTAATATTGAGAAAATGTCAATGTTACCCAGGGCAATTTACACGTTTAATGCAATCCCTATCAAAACACCATGGACTTTCTTTAGAGTGTTAGAACAAATTATTTTAAGATTTGTGTGGAATCAGAAAAGACCCCGAATAGCCAGGGGAATTTTAAAAAAGAAAACCATATCTGGGGGCATCACAATGCCAGATTTCAGGTTGTACTACAAAGCTGTGGTCATCAAGACAGTGTGGTACTGGCACAAAAACAGACACATAGATCAATGGAACAGATTAGAGAACCCAGAAGTGGACCCTGAACTTTATGGTCAACTAATATTCGATAAAGGAGGAAAGACGATCGACTGGAAGAAACACAGTCTCTTCAATAAATGGTGCTGGGAAAATTGGGCATCCACATGCAGAAGAATGAAACTAGACCACTCTCTTGCACCATACACAAAGATAAACTCAAAATGGATGAAAGACCTAAATGTGAGACAAGATTCCATCAAAATCCTAGAGGAGAACACAGGCAACACCTTTTTTGAATTCGGCCACAGTAACTTCTTTCAAGATACACCCACGAATGCAAAAGAAACAAAACGCAAAAATGAACTATTGGGACTTCATCAAGATAAGAAGCTTTTGCACAGCAAAGGATACAGTCAAAAAAATCAAAGACAACCTACAGAATGGGAGAAGATATTTGCAAATGACATATCAGATAAAGGCCTAGTTTCCAAGATCTATAAAGAACTTCTTAAACTCAACACCAAAGAAACAAACAATCCAATTATGAAATGGGCAAGGGACATGAAGAGAAATCTCACAGAGGAAGACATAGACATGGCCAACATGCACATGAGAAAATGCTCTGCATCACTTGCCATCAGGGAAATACAAATCAAAACCACAATGAGATACCACCTCACACCAGTGAGAATGGGGAAAATTAACAAGGCAGGAAACCACAAATGTTGGAGAGGATGCGGAGAAATGGGAACCCTCTTGCACTGTTGGTGGGAATGTGAACTGGTGCAGCCACTCTGGAAAACTGTGTGGAGGTTCCTCAAAGAGTTAAGAATAGACCTCCCCTATGACCCAGCAATTGCACTGTTGGGGATTTACCCCAAAGATGCAGATGCAATGAAACGCCGGGACACCTGCACCCCGATGTTTCTAGCAGCAATGTCCACAATAGCCAAACTGTGGAAGGAGCCTGGGTGTCCATCGAAAGATGAATGGATAAAGAAGATGTGGTTTATGTATGCAATGGAATATTACTCAGCCATTAGAAACGACAAATACCCACCATTTGCTTCAACGTGGATGGAACTGGAGGGTATTATGCTGAGTGAAGTAAGTCAATCGGAGAGAGACAAACAGTGTATGTTCTCATTCATTTGGGGAATATGAATAATAGTGAAGGGGAATATAAGGGAAGGGAGAAGAAATGTGTGGGAGATATCAGAAAGGGAGACAGAACATAAAGACTTCTAACTCTGGGAAATGAACTAGGGGTGGTGGAAGGGGAGGAGGGCGGGGGGTGGGGGTGAATGGGTGACGGGCACGGAGGGGGACACTTGACGGGATGAGCACTGGGTGTTATTCTGTATGTTGGTAAATTGAACACCAATAAAAATTAATTTATAAAAAAAAAAAGAAATATATATGTATGTATATATATATGTGTGTGTGTGTGTATGTATGTATGCATAATCCTGTGGAATAGAACTAAGATATGATTTCTTATGAGTATATTATGCTATAGGCCTGGTCTGTTGACATAGCCCTGAAGCACAACAGTGAAGGGGTATTGCTGACCATACAAACTTAAAAGAAATGATTTCTGGTGATATTCACAGAAATTGAGAAAAAAAGTTTTTACATTTAGTAGCTGCATACATGTGCCAAAGGATATAATCACTTTTTCAAGCATTGGAGTTGTATCTGGAGGAGCAGGTGCAGTTGAAGTCATTACCTATTCAAGTTTATAATGATTCACTATCATTATATAAAATACATTTCTGTAGAGTTCAAATAAGAACATTAGATATGAAATTGATAGGAATCACTACTTTTGCCTCTTTTGAGACAGTGGTGATGGCACTAATATCTATAATTTTTGCAGAAATGCAGGTCTGCTTTGATTTACTATTTTGGCAGATTGAGAAAGTGCTGTGGCTTCCACTGAGTTTTGCTACAAGATTATCCTCATGACGTGCATCAAGGAACTAATATAAGAATTCTGACAATTTGTCTATTCCTATTAAACATTTCAGAATTGGGATAATCACAGGATAGGATCGGAGATGCATTAAACTTACTGTGAGGTAGATTTTAGACAAAACTTAGATTGATTACCTGCACATCATCGGCCTCTCCTCACTGTGATTAATGGTTCACA